AGTTAATTAGTAATAATAAATGTTATTTCCAAAAAAAAAAATGTTATTAGATTTCAGATTATGGTAGTAATTGTTTGTATAAAAAAAGTAGTTATTTTGTTTTTGGAAATAATATTTATTAGTTCCAAAAACAGTAATTTTTTGTTTTGGGAAATAACAGTAATTGTTTGGTGCAAGTAATTTTTTTTTTTTTTTTACGATGTTGACCTCAATATCAATCTCATAATTTGAATTAAAAGATAAATCATGAGATGAAGAATTCTAATTCAACTATAGTGTTGGTGTCGAATTTTATGTGAAACAGATTACACATCCAACAAATATTTTTCGTACTTAATCATAGTATGGATTGTGATTCACTGAAGTTGAAATTAGAACAACACAACCTTGATTAAGTAGAATGATCAATCGTATCCAATAAAACTAATCTGGATCATTGATCTTGAAACTTATACCACATGAACGTGAGCCGGTTGAGTAAACGTAATGCAGAATGAACAAATGACTAGTACTAAATTTAGTGGAATTGTGAACAGCGATGTTGGAATTAGTCGAATAGATGCGACATTATCACGTTGAACCAACGGAAACAATGTAGATAATGTATGATTCATGCAACTAGTACTGAATTTGGTGGAATTGTTATTATATGTTCATCAATGCATCCTTAACTACGTGATTGTGATCATTAGGTGTACATGCTATCAAATTACAAATTAATCATTAGGTGTACATGCTATCAAATTAGTTATATGTTAAACTTCATGGTCTACTAACACGATTTCAAAGTTACTTTTGTCATTAGATGTACATGCTATCAAATTACAAATTGAATTACCATAAGCATTTATAAATTTGAATCAAATTACGGTTGAATTGATTTCATAAAAATTAGAATGGTGATCGCTCGCGTACCGGATTATGAACAGCGATGTTGGAATGCGACATGATCACGTTGAACCAACGGAAACAATGTAGATAATGTATGATTCATGCAACTAGTACTGAATTTGGTGGAATTGTTATTATATGTTCGTCAATGCATCCTTAACTACGTGATTGTGATCATTAGGTGTGCATGCTATCAAATTACAAATTGATCATTAGGTGTACATGCTATCAAATTAGTTATATGTTAAACTTCATGGTCTACTAACACGATTTCAAAGTTAATTTTGTCATTAGATGTACATGCCATCAAATTACAAATTGAATTACCATAAGCATTTATAAATTTGAATCAAATTACGGTTGAATTGATTTCATAAAAATTAGAATGGTGATCGCTCGTGTACCGGATTATGAACAACGATGTTGGAATTAGTCGAATAGATGCGACATGATCACGTTGAACCAACGGAAACAATGTAGATAATGTATGATTCATGCAACTAGTACTGAATTTGGTGGAATTGTTATTATATGTTCGTCAATGCATCCTTAACTAAGTGACTGTGATCAATCTATCAAATTGGACTAGTAGATTAGATGCAAGATACAGTTGCATTGTTAACTAGTTGATTAGTTATATGTTAAATGTATGATTCATGCAACTAGTACTGAATTTGGTGGAATTGTTATAAATTTGAATCAAAATACGGTTGAAATTATAAATTGTCATTGCTATAAATGGATTATGATAAATGTTGGAATTAAATTATACTTAATTGCATCGTAGAATTCAACGGCAGTAAACCAAAGATCACCACCTGTTGTGACTGTCAATATTTTAATTTTTTTAAAAAATAAAAATAAATTAAACACAAGCAGTATTTGGAAAGGTGCCGTGAATCTCGAGATATATGTAACAACAAATCACAAGAATCTAGGAATATAACATAATTGCCATGATTGTTTACGTCTGAACGTGGATATAAACGGCGGGGATAATGTTCATAAATATTTTCCCACTTTTTATTTTCAATAACATTGATTTTAGGAAATTAAAAAGGAAACTATATTTTGTGTAAAGAGTTTATTATATTATTTCTGAATATATGTCACATAATATATTCTATATATATTTATTACTCAACTGACATAGCATCCACGGTCCACATATATTAATTGTAAAATTAATTATTATAATTAGTATTAGCATATGAATATTGACATTATTTATAATTAATGTCTATTTTTATACAAAGTATATTGCAAATTCAATTATTTTGTTTTGATTGTTCGTTGATTTTTATTACTTAAATTTTTATTAGGGTTTAAAAATACTTTGAACATAAAAAAAATATTAAGTTGAAAAAATAATATTACGGAATTCGAAAAGGTGTAATCATTATAAGTGTGGGTAAATCGGCGATAAATCTGCACAGTTATTTTCTCCTCTAGATAATCGTGCATATCTTATCAAATACGTCTCCCAGTCTTCTTCAACCTACCCCCTTACAGAAAACCCTAATTGCTTCATCTTCCAAACGTTCATTCTTGATTTTATAAATCTCTCTCACCGTCTTCCTCTCCCACTTTCATTCTTGATTTCCTACACAAATCCAGACGTTCATATCCACTGCCAAATCCTTCTTCTCCACATTAGAAAAAATGACTGGAAAACGTGATCCCACCCACGATTGTGCAGAAAGCAGCAAGAAACTGAAGACCACATATGATTCCGGCAACGACAAAGACCAGGCGGATTCAGATTCTGACTTTGAAATAACGTTCGACGATTTCCCTTACAACACAGACGTGGCTGCTGAGTATCTTTATTTCAGTACAAGGGCGAAGGTTTTGGGTGGAGACTTGGCCGGCGTTAATTTTTTTATAGAAAGGCCGATCGACGACGAGACTTTCACAGATTGGGGTGTGAAACAGCTGTTAAAGGATAGGCACTTGTTGGGTAGTGTTAGAATGGCGAAAAATCGGACCAAATTTAAGTTTGAGATGAATCTTATCCGTGAGTTCTATGCTAATCTGGAGAGGGTTGTTGGTGACGAGTTATCTTGCCGTTTTGGGCAAATTTATGTTCGTGGCAAAGTGTACGAGTTCACCCCGAAGTTGTTGAATAAGATACTTGGCACGAATGATAAGGGAGCTTTGAGATCAGGAGTATCCCATGAGGATTTGGCAAAAGAGATGACCGGAGGAAAGATGAAACAGTGGCATGTGGTTGGTCTGAAGCGTACACAACTCACGCAGGTTTACGCCATATTGCATGAGATAGGATGTGCAAACTGGTTTCCAAATTTGACTTCCAATCTTGTGACTGTGGATCAAGCTGATTTTTTGTATGTTGTCGGTTGCGGAGTTGAAATCAATGTTGGCGAATTTATTTTCCGGCGAATATTGGAAGAGACGGAGCGTGTTTCTGATGTTTTAATATTTACTATTTTAATATTTTCTTTGCTTTGTGACCAGAAATACGTTGTTAGCAAGGATGCAACTTGTAACAGGGTTCCTGCTTATCCAATTGTGATTCCGAGTCCGGAGACTGCGTTCCCTGCAATGTTGCAGAGACAGCTGGATGTGAGGCGTGAAGAAGTCGCTGTTATGGAAGCCAAGATACAAGCCCTCTCTGCCCCTGGTGCAAGCTTATTTCCCAGATCAACTTCTGCCTCTCCATGATTGTCATTGAAAAAAAAAATCTTTTGTTGGTGGTTTGTTTTTGAACAATTTACTAAATTTGGAACAATATTTTATATTTTGTTTTTATTTTGGATAATTTGATTTTTGATGCATGATTGGGTCTGGTACCCCATTCTGCATATTGAATGTTATGTTTTGTTTCTTGAATTAGCTATGATTTATTTTTGTTTCACTTTGTGGACGATTTCTGAATTTGAACAATAATCTTTTGATTGTTGTTGTTATAGTTTTTTTCTTATGTATGTGATTATTGCATTTGCAGGTACACGTAAATGCTATGATTTATTTTGTTTTCATTTTGAGGAGGACCTTTGAATCTGGACAATTTTATTTGGATATCTAGTTATTGGATATTTTGCATTATGTATGTGATTATTGGATTTGCAGGTATAAGTAGATCATCTGTTTTTGTTTTGGTTTCAATTTGAGAATGTTTTTTGAATCTAAACAATTTTGTTTGGATTTCTTGTTATTGGATATTTTGCATTATGTATGTGGTTGTTGGATTTGTAGGAACAAGTAAATGATCTGATTTCTTTTGGTTTCAATTTGAGTTGGTTGTTTTGATGTACTCTATTTTGTTTGGATTTGTAGTTAAGTATATTAATTTTGTTTGGAATTGTGTAAGTAGTTTTGTGTAATATCAGTGTCATAAATTACAGAATTTGTACTTTGTTTTCATAGTTTGTAATGTGAGTGCAATATTCCTAGTCTTAACTTTGTTTTCATAGTTTGTGGACATAATTAGGTAATGTGTTACTCTATTTTATAACTTGTTTAATCTATGAAGATTTTGCTTACAAAATAAGTTGTTTATATTGTATTTATGTTTTTCCAACTGTAGTTGTATTTATTAATATCATGTATGCTAGGGTTCCATCGGTTTATTATGTTGGTATTTTAAGACTATAAAGGTAATATGAATAAAAATGCATAATTTGATACCACTCATTTAATTGTTTAAAAAACAAGTTAGTGGCAAAAGGGAATCAGCTTTAATACAACTTATTGAAGCATGTACAAGTTGAGGGCGGTGTAACTTTACATTGAATGTAACTGAAAATTTATTATATTTGTAAAAGTTTTTCATCAAACCCTAGTGCAATAACCCGATAAATGAATTGTAATTCCCTAATGCAACATAGACTATAATAGTGAACCAAAAGGAAATTAGTTTTAATACAACTGTCTTATAGTAAACCAAAGGTAAAAAGGAGTCAATAAATAACATTAAAATAAATTTAAATTACATTTGTTGCCTCATGTGACGGTATGTATCCAAATATGATGAGTTCGAATGAGACGTCGAATGACTTTTTCCTTCTTGCAATGTATACGATTGGATTGAAAATTAATATGAAAATGTTAACAAATTCGTGTCCCAATATGAATAATAGATATCATTACAAACATGTGAATGGATCCCACCTGCAGAATTTCTGAATATGAATAATAAATATCATTACAAACTTGTGAATGGATTCCACCTGCAGAATTGTGCAATTGTTGACGTTCAATATTTAAAAGAAGGCTAGTATGTGATCCAACGTATTCCGGTGTGACAAATTGCGATGTGTTTGACGAAAGTTGGACAAAGGAGTCCTCGGTGACAGCGTTACCATAACCAGCGTTTTCTAATGGGTTAATACGTGCTGAATGTTTCGCATTAGCCCTTGCACGAGAATCTGGGTTCTGCTCACAAGTTGTGGTCTTGTGTCCAGGTTTCCTTTAACGTTTGCACAACGAAATTCGTAAACAATATAGGATATGAAATTCAAATAATATTGTCAAAAGAATAAGAAATACATCAACATGCATAATCCGCATAGATGCTTCTTATCTTTGGATCCGCCCTTAGGAACAATCTTAGCGGGATCACCGACATGTGGGACGTGTTTGAAATTTTCAATTGGTTCCTCATTATCACCTTCATCATCATCATCATCATCATCATCATCATCATCATCATCATCAGTATGATCAACCAAAGCCTTATTCGATACTCTGCCGTGAATTTTCATTGTAGGATCCAAGTATAAGAAACAAGATGTGAGGTTCTCGCCAATGTCAACAAACCACCGGGGATGGATACTCTTAGCAGGAAATTTAGTAAGTGTCAAATTCTTAAAACCACATATCAAATGGAATTCTTCGTTGTCCAAATCGATTACGGTAGTAAATGTACGAGGCCTTGCCTTGCTATGATCTTCAAAGATGAATGTGTGCCGCCGATTAACAGGTACACTCTTGTTGAGTACAATTATGTTTGCCTCCTCCTTCAGCTCATTTTGTATATAATCGAATATGGCTCTAGTGCATACGCGACCGGCATGGTTCTCAAGACCGCTTAATAAGCCTGTACGCTTCACTTCCTTTGGTGGATTCTCAGATTCCTTCTGCAATACGTGAAACCTCTTTCGAATCCTCTTCAAGAAACTATTGTTGTACTGCCTAAACAAATCTGTAAGGCTAAAACCAGAACTAACTTTATGTTTCAGTGAAGCGTTCATTGACTCTGCACGTTGCGTGATCCTCGTCATAGAAAAAAACTTGCCTCGAAAAAATGCTTCTGCCCATAAATGTCGTTTTGAGTATATGTCTTGTATCCATGGATGGTCGGCAACACCAAACTTAGCAATCAACGTAGACCATCTAGCTTCAAATTGGGCCACAGAGCATGTAATTTTCATTAGCTTGGAAAAACATGTTGAGAATCCTGGAATTTTTATATTAGTTTCGGCATTACATGAAATATGCCAGCAACAAAGCCGATGAGTTGCTTTAGGAAAAACATCTCTAATGGCTGCGCACATTGTTGCATCCTGATCCGTCAAAACAGCTTTAGGTGCTTTTCCTTTCATGAATTTTTGAAACGTTTGTAGCAACCAGGTGTATTGTTGAGTCGTCTCCTTGTACATAATAGCAACTCCAAAAATACATGTTCACAAATGAGAATTGACTCCAGATAACAACACTATAGGAAACCTATAGATGTTTGTCTTTTAGGTGCTATCAAATAGAATAACATCACCAAACTGTTCATACTCGGCTCTTGAAATCCCGTCGCACCAAAAGATTCTTGTAAGTGCATTGTTTGCGTCGACACTGTGCTGGTACTCAATTGATTTATCATTTACCTTCATGCCGTTCAGTAAACCCAACATAGTGTTCGCATCACCTCATTCAATCGTTTTCAACCTTTCCCCATTCAAATAGTTGTACGCGTCTTTCCGATTAAATGGACGTGTTTCACTCCCTGCATATGCTTCATCTAAAAAATCAATAACATGACTGGGTTTCATCCCAACACCAGTCATAAATTGCAACACGTATTTTGTTTTGTTGCTCAATAATCTGCATGCAATATGGAACTATATAAGTATACAACGGATTCAGTTTACAAGGCAAATGTGATAAGGAAAAAATATATCATACCATCATGCAAGGATGTCAACATAAAAGTAAAACCGGAACGATTAGATTACCTATTGCAACGTAGTATATGACTCGTATCGGGCGTGTTCTAGGCGGTGACTGTGATCGGGATTGAATGTAGTCACCCGATATATTCCGGTAGAACGACCAAGTGCAATACGGAATATGGCTGGGCATCCACACCGCTTGTCTTCTTTTCGGTGCACGCAATCGATCGTAATCCTTAATGCGTGTGTCACGATACCCAGCTCGAGAACAAACCTAAACCCTATTCATAACGATGTTTAAATCAGTGTTTTTTCTTTTCAAAGAGTGCTTGCGAACGTCAAATCCTGTTAACTGACCGTACCTAAAATAATATTGATCGGCCTCATGTATATTAGTAAAGGTTAATGACATCATGCGTTTAATTAATTGCAGACGATCATCGTTCTCGTCAATGTCGCCGGTGTTGCCTTGCTAATTGAAATTCATAACACTTTCATTTTGGTGTTCAACATTCCTTTGTGATTCACAATTAGAAGACCTTCGATCTTCAATACAATAAATATATGGGATTAAAGTAAGAAAACTATTAAGGATTTCGACAAAAACCCTAATTATTGAGATACAAGTAACATACCAACTTCGTCGGGATTAGACATCCTTAAATAAACGTATTCTGAAGAAATAGTGTAACGATTCACCAATTCGAATTTGTAGCAAAGTAAGAATAAATTAATGGATCGAAAAAAATGATGAACAATTGAATTGATCGTGAAACCGTAAGACCATATTTCGAATATGAATATGGAGAACGCATTTGATTTGGTTAGAGATTAGGGGATGAATCAGCATAATTAGGAAATAATATCGATTAGTTTTTTTTATTACGTTTGTGTATAAGGTTATTATGGTCATTCAAAAAAACAGTAATAAATTAATTAAAATTGCATTAAAAACAGAGAGAGTAAAATTGATATTACATTAATAATATATAATGGCCGATTTTTTGGAAATACTAATTATACAAAGGGTATCTCATAAAAGTTTAGAACACGGGATCTCATGGTAGAACACCCACACATTTAATATAGGGATCACAATGGACTTAAATGTTGCACATAGGTCTAGACAAAAAACAGTCTTGCAAATAAACTCATCCCCATGTATTTTGCATAAAATACACTTCTTAATATAATTTTCATCAATTCCAGCCATTATACTCTAACTTCATCAATATTGCACATTGACCCCGGATTTGAACAAATATATCACATTAACCCCCATTTTCGTACACAGGAAAACCGTTGACACGAAACCAACGTTCCTCCCATGTCTCCTACATAAAATATTCATTAACCACTGTTAGAAGAACATTCATCCTAAAATATAATTTATAAATACTTTCCCGAAATAAATACCTTATTCTCCTTGGAGAATATAACCATGTCGACTGCAACCTTTTTCGTGCAAGGGTTGAACTTGACTCCGGGCTTCGAAATGTACTTCAAGAAAGCATAAAATCGCTTTCGAATGATATGAACTCTTAGTTTCACATCTTCAAAAGTGATTTCTTCTGAAATGTAGTCACAGATCTCCTCTGTAGCGCGGAGGAGGACGCCGTTGAAAACCTCAACTGTATCTAGGTTTTCCAGTTCAATGGAATTCTCATGAATTGCATGCATCATCACCAAGTCGTAACTTAGCGGCCAATCATCGGAGTTGAAGAACCCATTGATTATTTGATTTCGTGTTTTTGGCATTTTGCTTCGCTTTTATTTGCTTTTAACTGTTTTTACAATTTTCCCTAAACATGGATGGTTATATGTTTATATAGGTAGAAAGGGAAGCATACATTTACTCTAGAAATGGTAGGTAGATGAGAGGTCATTCAAATATTTATTGCAATGCACTCTTCTTTACGTTTCGTAGAACTAAATGGCTGCATTTGCCTAATTTTCACATCAGTCGAGAACTTGTTGTCCAATTGCCATCTGTCTGTATTCTTTGATCTTTCTGCAAAGCAAAGAAATTTCAATAAGGGTAAATTACACCCACACCCATGAGGTATGCTTAAATAACTTTAAGGTCCATGTGGTATCGATAATTACACTAACCCCCTTGAAACGTAGTTATAAACTCTAATGGGATAATGCATTGGATAAGTTATTACGATAGAGTTCTAACGCACTATTGGTTTCAGGAAGTGGTGGACACAACAAAGAGTTATAGGTGATTTAAGAAATATTGGGGGAGCCATGTCACCCGATAACTCCCCATAACTCTATGTTATCTCCACCACTAGCTAAAAGTAATAGTCCATTAGAACTCTATCGGAATAATCTATCTAATGCTTTATCCCGTTAGAGTTTCTAATTCCGTTTCAGGGGGGTGAGTGTAATTATCGATACCATAGGGACCTTAAAATTATTTAAGCATACCTCAGGGGTGTGGGCGTAATTTACTCTTTCAATAATTAATACAAGCATGTTTTGAATTGTTGGAATAAATTAAGTAGTTGGGATTTAATGTTTGGAAAAAGGCTTAATGTAAAATTTAAGAAAAGACATTTACCTACCCATTTGTAGTGATTGCTAAGAATATAAATGCACATTATGTGAATTATTTTATTAATAAAAAAAAATGTATAAAGTGTGTGCTAATGTTCATTGGCTATTCAAGACTTCAAAATATTATGGCACCGAAAAAACAGCCAATATTTCGAAGGGGAGAGTTCTTAAATGCAAATAAATAGTGTTGAAGACATTGAAAATATTTTCATTGACTTCATGGTCGTTGAAGTGCAACTTGGTAGCTTTGTTTGGCCCGACAAAACATATGGCTCTTTGTTCCTAGCACGAGACATGTTCACAACGAAGCACGGACTGTTTTTCTCCGAAGATTTCTTGCTAAAAAAACTCGGCCTCCTCTGTGATCGTTTTGGAAACTTCCAATGGTTATTAAAGTTAGATGGTGTGTACTATAATCCGAAAACCAACATCGTAACTGCTGCCAGTGTAATATGGAATTACATAATGAAGGTAAACAAGAACTGTATATAATCGCCATCGATATTTAATATGTGTGTAATGATTTTTTTTTTATATCCATTGTTCTAGGAGAAGTATTTTGCATACCAATACCGTATATCCGGCGAATCAAAATGGCAAGAGTTATCGGTTATTTTCCAAGATATTGTGGTGTATGCTCAACCTTGCCCCGACGTTGTTGTACTATCGTCCGATAGCGAGGGTGAACCGAACGAAGAAAACATGGTGGCTGCCCCCACAAGGCCCTGTTGCACAAGCTGAAAAAGGTATAATTTATGTCGTCAATATTTCGCCTACTTCGAAAAAGAGTAAGGAATTCAACATTTCCGACTATTTGAATTACTACTCTAACTCCGAGGGTTCATAAAAAACAATTTATAGTGACGCGAACTCTTTCAACTGTGGTGCTGCCGGGATACGGATCCACCCAACTCCGAGTCCAAAATCTGGTAACAATCCAACTTATCCAAAAAAAGATAAGACAGCTACCTCAATTTCTTCGAATAACCCGGAGATATGAGAGGACTGTTTATTGAAACCAAAATCTAATTTTCCAATCGGCATTATTTATATAATTCTAGAGTGTTTCGTGTGTGTGTTGTTTTGTCTTTTTTGTGGAATTAAAAATATGTCAATTATTGTAAGCACTTCACTTTCCAAATTGTATTAATATGACAGTGCAGTTTATTTTGGCCATAGTGTGTTCATTGGTCTATTAATCTTATTTTGTTGCTCCTACATATTTTTATTGATCTACCTTGTTTATTTGTTCTATTGATGGTGTATATGAAAAACAAATAGATGGAATAATACATTTCACAATTAATACATCAAAAAATTTGAACCGTTAATCCTACAAAAAATATTTAATACAAACACACTACGTCCATATATCATTACATACTCCACCAAACATTACAATAAAAATGAGCGAATAATAAGGTTTTCGAGGTTGAGCGTCGCCTATAATACATCAAAAAATGGCGATAGACATGTATGAATAATATTTTTACGATTACTAATAGTTTGAACAATTTTTCATTATTTTAGATTAATAACGCCCTTGAAGAATCATCGCCACCATTAGCTCCTTGTGTTCATCGTTGACACTGTAGAATATGTCCACGTCCTTGGCCGTTTCACATAGGACCTTCGTCACATGCAATTTGTCCTCGCCAGACAAGTATTCGAATGAGCTAAGGCCATCAAAAACCTTTTTGCTCGATTCCGACACATCGAACTCAAAACCAACCCTTTTGATAAGGTGCCCCAATTTTTCGTCGGCTTTGTCGAAGAACTTCGCCATCATCTCAACCAATTGAAGGTCTATGTCATCGGTGCGGGCCCTTTTCTTCTTCGTTTTTCGAGTGGTTTTAGGGCTAGTTGCACTCTCTCCTCCGGTAGACACAAATGAGGTACTGTCACCATCAATCGATGCGTCTCCTAAAGAAACATTTCCACAAGCAACACTTTTCGGTTCTTTTCCCTTCGAAGAACCAATTAAGTCATTCACAGCTTCAACGAAGGCCTCGGCATGCTCCCCAGTGACCCGGTCTTTGCCAAATATGACAAACCAGTCCTTGTAGTAAGGCCATGCCTTGTAGCGCATAGTACGGGCCGCTGGTTCGGTCTAAAAATGTTAACGTATTTTATAAGTTAGCAAATTTCATTAAATGCATACTTTTTATAACTTATAATAATATAAAGTATACCTTGACGTAGTCATTCCAGGCCTCATCATCTTGCACATCAATCATAGATGACGAGTCATTCCAGCCGATACCACTACGTAACGACATTGAACTTAATAAACCGTAAGTCTTCTTCCAAACATGAATTTTGGAATGGATGTGGGGCTCAACCTTCAAGTCTGTCGCGGGAAACGAAACAGACATTGCACCCTCTAGTGTAGCAAGATAACCTGTTTTGAAACCGTTATCACATTTCCACCCACGCGCAACAATGTCTTTCAAAGCAGATATAAACATTTGTTTTTCTATCAAAGTCCAAGTTCTTCGTGTGATTCCCGATTTCCCTTTCAATTTGGTGTTTCTTTGGGACATGCTAGTTCCCTCCATAACTAATACGAATGAAAAAATCACACCTTTTTAAAGCACATAAAAATAAAAGTACCATTTATTAAAATAAATAACACACAAACAGTTGAACATTACAAAGTCATGGGAAAATAAATTTAAATAAAATTCCAATTCATAAAATAGTTCAAACCATAACAATTAATTGTTCAAATAGAAGATGGTTTTACTAATTACTACTACGCCACTCGTTATACATGTTATGCGCGAGATTGTCTCTCCAATCGGTCCATTGTTGGGATGACTCGACATTTCGTATGACTTCGACACAGTTTGGAGTATTTTCATTGGTTGTAATAAATTGAGGAACAAGGGCCTCCACGGGGTCGTAGTCATTCGTAGTCCTTATAAAGTTGTGAATTAAAGTACAAGCCATTATAATGCGGTTTTGAACTTTGATTGGGTAATATGCGGCACTCCGAAGAATACCAAATCTGGACTTTAAAATTCCAAATGCACGCTCTATCACGTTACGGGCTTTAGCATGTTTCATGTTGAAATATTATTGGTAGTCTTGAGGTGCAAGTGTGCGTACAACGTAGTCTTTAAGATGGTACCTAACATGTCGGTAAGGTGACAGAAAACCTTCCCCATTAGTGTATCCGTTATCAACGAGATAGTAGTGACCTATAGGTTCACATGACACTGTTATTACGTAGTATTTCATTTGGGATTCTAAAAGAAGAATATTTAAGGTTATTACCCTTAGGCACCCTTAGCCCGTTAGCCCTAGTGACAGCATCACGAAGGACTCTACTATCCGCGGCAGATCCTTCCCATCCCGTCAACACATATACGAAATTGAGGTTAACAGCACAAACAACAAGTACATTAACAGATATGTCACCCTTCCAATTCCTATACCTTGGTTTGTCAAGTAACGAAACTCTGACATCAACATAAGTGCCATCTAGAGCACTGAGACAACCCTAATCACGTGGGAAAAATATTTCCATGGATGTTATAAAACTTATATTATGAAAAAATATGATAATTTGAAGGAAAATATTCACCAATAATATGCGTGTACCTTAAAAAAGTGCCACCTCTCATTATCACAATTTTCATCTATAGGTTGAGGGTTAACTAGGAGGACATAGTGTAATTTGAGAACAGCTTCTAACACCTCATAGAAATGTTTGCTAACGGTGAACCCAGATCTTTTGAAAGAAGACTGGACAACAACATTTTTCGTATGATGACCCAAAATTTGTAAGAACATAGCTACTTGTTCGGGTATTTGGACATTTCTTGTTGGAAGAAGACCACCAAGATATTCAAGAAGGTAACAAAAACGTTTAAAGGTGTCCAAGTTCATTCTAAGATTATCATGACATGTCACATTATTAAAACTCAGAAGGTCATTCAAATTATTCATTTGAGATGGTGCTTTAGCAATCAAACTATATGATCTCGGATGGGCTAAACTGGTAAGACGACGATGCCTCACAGACAAATAAAACCGAACAAAAGTTACTATATCAAGCATAATGTCATCTATTACTTGATTGAGTACAACCGTAACCTCTTCTTTTCTGGTAATATCCATCGATCCAAATGACAAGGATGTTTTCAAAAAATTCATTCAGAAACAAGAGGGATTCAGCAAGAATAATGACTCACAAATGGAAAATTTTTGATATTCATTAGTTTAAAATTGTGGAAAAAATACAAGAACATAATTTTCGGAAAAAACACTAACAAATAACTAACACTGACAATACTACAATCAATTGTTCACACTAGCAGCTTCAAGATCCTTAAGAGGCGAAGCCAAAATACCAAAAAAAATCATTAACAGACACCCACGAACATTTTTGTAGCAAAATTGCAAAA